TCAAGAACATTCATTCACTCAAAAAAATTTTTAACATCCACCAAAACCATCCCCCGAATTATCGCCGAGACAATTCACTCTCCATATCTCAAATTAATATTTCATCTCCCCCAGACTATTTTTGCGTGACGCATTTCCATTACAGTTCGGTTTTTTTACATTACCAACTGACATGTAACGAACTCACGCGAGACCGGAAATTAATTGGTCGTTTCCACATCCCTTATTCTCATTAACAACCCCTAGTTTATATTTTTCCATCCCCCAGTGGATTTTTTTTTTCGGATAAGCTGGCGAGGTCTAGTCTCTTTAAGACGACTTTTTCCACTCTTTCCATCGACTTGGCGAAATTGGAACGACCATTGCCCCCTCGCCCCCCTCCTCCCCCTCCCTTCGACCCCCTCCGCCCAACCACCTACCCGCCACTCAAAAGAGTTCATCCTCATCATTTTTTTTTTTTTCAGTTTTCTCCGTGCTCATGCACTTTAATGCATTTTATGATTTTATTTTTACTCTCGTGAATTCAATTTCATTTTAAAATTATTTTCTAATGGGATTTCAGGGAGATTTAGGGATGTTAATAATTCAGGCGAAAGTGGACGCCGTGGGGATTCATTCGAATATTTGAGGGAAAACTCTCGCCTAGATTGAGTACTGAATCCAATAAAAAATATTGAAAAAAAGTGTCAATTCGTTAGTGGATAATAAAATTAAAAAATTATTGTATTTCTTAATTGAATTTAATTAAAGAAAAAAACATGATTATGGGTAATCTTTTTAGATATTCAATTTTTTGAATATTTAGATTTTTTTAATTCGTGGGAATAAAATTATCCTCGGACACTCTTCCAAAAATTGTTTAAACAATCATAAATGGAGGAATTGAGTATTTGTCAATTATTCGTCTTGAATTGTCTCCTCCGGAAAAAAGTCAAGCCAACAAAAAAAATCGCGTGACAATGTGTCGCGTGACGAGTCGACATTTTTTTGAATCGATAAGTCGCATATCTGGGGTTCTATTCTCGGAAATATCGTTGTCAAAGAGAAAATAAATACAATGGGAGTTACTCTTGATATGTCTGGATGAATTGTCATTGATATTGGAATTTTATTGCAGGCTCTTTGAGGAGAATGCCGAGCTGCTCAATTTATTCACCAAATTTCGGGAGCTGAAGACTAAGGAAGAGCAAACTAATAGCACAGCACTGGCTGAGCATGCGGTTAAGGTCATGCAGACACTGGATGAGGGCATCAAAGGGCTCGATAATATGGATGAATTTTTCGATTATCTGCATCAAGTCGGGGCCTCTCATACCAAAATTCCGGGCTTCAACAGATCGCTTTTTTGGGTTTGTGCTAATTACTCATCAAAAGCCCCTAATTACTACTCCATCCATTTCCCCCTAATTCCCCCAATCAAATAAAAAAAAATTAT